CTGTCTCTTATGAAGATGATCAGGTATGTCATAAAAAGAGCCAGCAGTTTATCCAAAAGAACAACCACCAACCTCCAATCTGCCATTTCCTGGTGTCTGCTTACTTCACATCAGATGTTCAAATCATGATTTTGTCTATAAATTCACATCTTAGCTTTATGTAAGCATTGCACTCATTTTTCCTTTCCAGCATGGAAGCTAAAATATTTTTGTAACCACCAACCTCCAATCTGCCATTTCCTGGTGTCTGCTTACTTCACATCAGATGTTCAAATCATGATTTTGTCTATAAATTCACATCTTAGCTTTATGTAAGCATTGCACTCATTTTTCCTTTCCAGCATGGAAGCTAAAATATTTTTGTAAATGGAACAATCTAGGGGCTAGAGAGATGGCATAAAGTAAGAACACTGGCTGCTGGAACCAGGTTTGCGTTCAGTTCCCAGCACCCACATTTCAGTTAATAACTGTCTGTAACTCATTTCCAGGGATCCAACACCCTCTTCTGGTCTTCATGATCATTGCATGACATGGGTGCACTTATATGTAGGCAAAACATTCATGCTCATAAAATAAAAAATGATCTAAAATCTCTTCACCTTGGTTCTTCTACCTCATTTTCTTTGAAGATTTTTTTTTAATTTTTCATTTTTATCTAATACATATGAATGTTTTACCCCCATGCAGGTATGTGTACCACATGTGTGTCTGGTACCTGAAGGGGTTAGACTCCCTGGAAATGGAGTTACAGCTGGTTGTTAGCCACCATGTGGGTGCTGGGAACTGAACCTGGGTCCTCTGCAAGAGCGGCTGGTGCTCTTAACTTCTGAGTCTGAACCATCTCTCCAGCCCGCTTCTACTTTATTTTCAATTTCTTCAATTATTTGTTCTTCTCCAGAGAAAATTCTGTCCCTGTGTGGTGCCTAGTCTAGCAGCTGCCCCAGCATCCAGGCTAGCAGTGAAGGTTTATTTAGGGACAGGGCTGGCCAGGCCAGCTCCTGCTTAACAGAGGGCTGTAAGAGTCCTTGGGGTGCCGCTGCCCTGACTCTGTTCCAGTAGTACTTTCTTCAGCTCCTTGGAGGAGGTGTCATTTGCAGAATTATCTTCACTTTTGAGGATTCTCACATAAATACACAATTCTACTTATTTTGTCAGTCTGATAAGAAAAAATGAAGGAAGAAAGAGTTCTGGGGTTGCAGGTGCTTGGTTTTTGAGACACGACCTTGTTATGTACCCCTGTGTACTGGAGAGCTTCAGTTGGTAAGTCAACACGTCTGAGACAGGGCGCCGCAGCTGGGGAATTTCCTCTATCAGATTGCTTGTGGCTGTGTCTGTGGGGCATTTTCTTGAGTGATCACTCAACAGATATGGAAGGCCCAGCCCACTGTGGGTGATGCAGGTGGTCCTGGGTGGTATGAAAAAGCAGGCTGAGCACAGGCCAGAGGAGCAAGCCAGTAAGCAGCACTCCTCCATGGTCTGTGCTCTAGTTTCACCTCCAGGTTCCTGCTTGAACTCCTGCCCTGGCTTCCCTCAGGACTGTCCTGTAAGCCGAAATAAACCCTTTCCTCTTCAAGTTGGTTTTGGTCAGAGTATTTTATCACAGCGATAGAAAGTTAATACACCCTGGTGGCCTTGAACTCTCAGTGTAAGTAAACTAGGCTGGCCTTGAACTCTCAGTGTAAGTAAACTAGGCTGGCCTTGAACTCTCAGTGTAAGTAAATTAGGCTGGCCTTGAACTCTCAGTGTAAGTAAACTAGGCTGGCCTTGAACTTGTGCATAGTCTTTGGTTGTTGATGCAGGCAGGTGCCTGGCTTGTCTAACCTTTGGCTTCTTCAGTTCCTGGTAGGTAAAATGGGATGATACCCACCCACTATATGCACTTGGCATCATCGTTTAGTTTTTAGTAAGATTAAAGTATGATTGTATCTGGGTTTGGTGTCACTTGGGTTGGGAGGTGCAGGAAGGAGGATCAGAAATTCAAGATTTATCTTTAGTTGCAAAGTGAGATCCCAGGCTGGTTGGCCTAATTAAAAGAAAATAGTGGAAGAAAAGCATTTTGTAGGTATTTGCGCTTGAAAACTAATTTTAACATTTGAATCCTTTTATCTAGGACTTGCTGTGATGTATTTATTTCACATCCCACAGACACACATTAACTCTTTCAATCTGACATTAAGCCTGTAAGTTAAGCTTCAGATAAATCAACAATCTAAGGCTGTCCTCAATTTATCTTTTTGTTGTTTGCTTTTTGAGACAGGGTCTCAATATGTAGCTCTCACTTTGTAGAACAGGCATGCTTCGATCTCACAGAGATCCACCTGCCTCTGTCTCCGGGAACTAAAGTGTTTTTGACAGCTGACTTCTAGGAATTTGAAAATGACTATTGTCATTCTAGGGGCAAGCCTTTTGAAACTGCATTTCAACTTGTTAAAGCATGTGCTTGCCGTAGCAAGGCTCCCAGCTCCATCTCCAGCGCCTCGCTTATTTATTTTCAAATATCAAAACAAAATAGACCTTCAATTCTGTGGGCCCTCGCTGACCAGCGGAGGTCTGGGGAGGCCTGGAGAGGTGTGTAGGAGTTGGGTGAAGGGCGAGAACCGGTGGGCGGGGCTGCGATGGGGCGGGGCGGGGCGGGGTCGGTGGCCCCGGCGTTTGGCGCACCGCAGGCGTCTCAAACCCCGGGCGGCCAGCCCTGCGGGAGCTGCGCAGTCTGGACGCTCGACAGCCGAGGTCGCGATGGTCCACTTCTTGCACCTAGCGCTGTCGCCACGGACCCTCGTCCTGCCCGACGGCCGGGAGGATGCGCCGGGCCGCTGCGTGGTGCAGGTGAGCGCCCGCCGCCGTCGGAGGTCGCTCGCCCTGACCTAGCTCCGAGAGGCCTGGGACCCCGCGGACCTGTCAGGACCCGGGGCTGGAGGCCCTGCGGCCCCGGGGGACCCCGCGAGCCCTGGGAGGGGACCCCGCAGCCCCGGGGGACCCCGCGAGCTTGGGGTGGGAGCCCTGCAGCCCTGGGGGACCCCTCGAGCCCTGGGAGGGGACCCTGCAGCCCCGGGGGATCCCTCGAGCCCTGGGAGGGGACCCTGCAGCCCCGGGGGACCCCTCGAGCCCTGGGAGGGGACCCTGCAGCCCCGGGGGACCCCTCGAACCCTGGGGAGGGGGCCCTGCAGCCCCGAGGGACCTGGGGTGGGAGGAACCTGCAGCCCCCGGGGAACCCTCGTGCAGCCCCTGCCTCTCCCTTTCCGGCCCCCAGCGCCCTTCTTAGGAAGTTCGTCATCCCTGGTCTTCCGTGGGCACTGCTTGTCTCCAGTTAAACTGCACTGGGAAGCTGTGAAGTTTAGGTGATTTACACTTGAAAGTGTAGGTGATTTACACTTGAAAGTGATCTCGAGGATGCATATTGAATGCCGCATTCAGTCATGCCTAATGCCACCAGGGTGGCCCAGGATTACCTTAGGTTCCTAGTCCTCTTGCCTCTATATCCACAAATCCTGGGATTGTAGGCTTGGCCCACCGCACACAGCTTTTGTTAGTTACCTGTAATCTGTTGCCAGAAATCTTATATATGAAAAGTAGACATGGCAATTCATACCTGTATCCCAGCACTTGGGAGGCTGAGGCAGAAGCATCAAGGTTTCAAGGCTAACTTGGGCTACATAGCCAGACCTTTTCCTAAAAACCCAAAACAAGCCAGTGTGATGGCATATGCCTTTAATCCCAGCCCTGGGGAGGCAGAGGCCAGCCTGGACTACATAGTAAGACTCTGTCTCAAAAAGTTTTACCCTTTTCAATTACATTTATTTATCATGTAAGTGCCATGACACATATGTAGAGGACAAGTGGGAGTCTTCTCCTTCCTGGGATTGAACTCAGGTCATCAGGTCAAGCAGTGGTCTCTAGCCATCTGTGCTATCACGGCCCCAAGATATCATCTTCTGTGATTCTAATCCATGTATATTTTTACTGAGATTTTGGTATTTGTGTTATGGCTCAAATATGCTCTATCTTGGTTCACTTGTATTTAAAAAACTGTATGTATTCCCAGCTATGCATGATGCATGTCTTTAATTCCAGCACTTAGGAGGCAGAGGCAGGTGGATCTCTGTGAGTTCAAGGCCAGCCTGGTCTGCCTAGTGAGTTCCTGGTCTCCCTAGTGAGTTCCTCAGTTGCAGGGAGATCCCCAGTCAAGAAAAGGGGCCCTGCCTGGGAGAAAAAGCCCCAAGGTCTTTGTCTTGGGTAAGGAGGCAGCTGGAAGTTTGCTACTTTTGCAGCCCTTTGTGCTGTCTGCCTGTCAGGGATCTGCCACACTCCTAGTTCCTCAGCAGCACAAGTGTTGGGAGGCTCACAGCCACCCGAAACTCCAGTTCTAGGGGATCCTGCACTGTCACACATCTTCCTCGGCCACCTGGTCTCATGGACATAGATCCACACACAGTCATACACGTACACATGCATTTGATTAAAAATAAAATCTTAAACTGGGCATGGTGGCTCATGCCTTTAATCCTAGCAATCAGGAGGTAGAGGCAGGCAGATCTCACCAGTCTGAGCTACATAGTGAGAGTTTAGGCCAGCGGGGACTATAGGAAGACCCTGTCTCAAAAACAAAAACAATAAAAAACTTAATTTTTTAAAAAAGTTATTCTTCATTGGGTGCACACCTGTAATTTCAGAAGAGGCAGGAGGATTACTTTAAGTTTGAGACCAGCCAGAGGTCTACACAGCAAGTTGCAGGGCAACATTCATTCTGCCTTAGTTTCTCAGGCCTCTGGACCCCTGCCTCCGGTGTATAGGTTCTTACCATGTGATCTAGGATGACCTTGGACTGCTGTCCTGAAGCAGTTCTGCCTCAGCTTCCTGAGTACCTGCGACTAGGTGTATGCCAAAGGGGTTTGGCTCTCATGGTTTATTCTTTAAAAATTTTTTTTGCCAGGCATGGTGGTCCCAGCACTGGGGAGGCCGAGGCAGGTGGATCTCTGTGAGTTCAAGGCCAGCCTGGTCTACATAGTGAGTTCCAGGCCAGTTGGGGCTGCAGGGAGACCCTGTCTCAAAAAGACCAAACAAAAGTTTTTTAAAATTTTTATGTGTATGAGTGTTTTCCCTGCATGTATTTAAGTGTACCTGTACACTCAGTGCCCACAGAGGCCAGAAGAGATGTTGGAGCCCTTGGAAATGGAGTTAGGGACGATTGTTAGTTTCCATGTGGGTCCTGGGAACCGATCCCAGGTCTTGTAGAAGAGCTGCCCAGTGAGTGCTCTTACCTGCTGAGCCATCTCTCCAGTCTTGTTTTATTATTTCTTCGTAAATGAATACACACTTTAATGGTTTCTGCTTTTTTTTTAACTTTCTCCCCTCCCTCTTTCTTCCTTCCATTCTTTCCATTCTTTTTGACATGAACTCTTGCTATGTAGCCCTGGCTGGCCTAGAACGCAGGGTTAGACATGTAGAACAGGCTGGCATCCAGCTTGCCACGATCCTCCTGCTTGTTTTATGAAACTTGATGCTGCAATTTTTGTGCATATAATACTGTAAAACCCACAGAGATACCGCTTTTTTGATCAAAAGCGTCTTTATTATCTAACAAAAGAAGCTGGCAGTCAAGAGGGGGTTAGTGCCCAAGAGAACCCAAGGGAAGCAGAGCGGGGTTTATAAAGCTAAAACCACAATTATATCTTCCTTTGTGTGTAGTATTTCATTCATTACCTTTTGCAGCACTGACTTTGTGGTCATGAATGGTATTAGTTTGTCCTTGTCCTTGAATATCCGTATTTCTGTCAGTTTTAGAAGATGATTTTGCTGAATATAGCTCTCTTGGCAGTCGGCAGGTACTTTAAGGGCTTGAAATACATCATCTAGCCCTTTCCTCCCTTCTAAGGTTGCTCACTAGAGATCTGATATCATGTTGGTATTTTTGCTTTGAAAATGAGTTGGTATTTTTTCTTTGCAGGATTAAAAAATAATATTTATATGTACGAGTGTTTTGCCTGCATGTATATAAGTATACCATATGATGCATACAGTGCCCACAAAGGCCAGAGGAGGGCATCAGATCCTGTGGAACTGAAGTTATAGATGGTTGTTAGCAGCCATGTATATGCTGTGAACTGAACCTGGGTCCTCTGCAAGAGCTTTTAACCCCTGAGTCATTTGTCCAGCCCCAGATTGTGTGTGTGTGTGTGTGTGTGTGCGTGTGTGTGTGTGTGTGTGTGTGTGTATCAGAAAACAACTTGTGGGAGTTGGTTCTCTCTTCTACCATGATGATCTTGGGGGTTGAACTCACGTTATCAGCCTTTGCGGTAAGCACCTTACCTGCTGAGCCATCTTGCTGGCTCGGTGACTACTTACTTTCATGTTGAATTTTTCCACATGAATTCTAACAATTTTTTTCCCCAGGAGGAGGCATCACCCTACTCTTTGGTCAAGATCTGCCTGAATGTCTTGATTGCTAACTTGGACAAATGGTGTTCCAGAAGACCTGATGGAACACTGTGCCTTCCAGAGCACTGGAGCCTCCCTCAGGAACTAGCTGATAGATTCCTTAGGATGATGGCTTTGCAAGGTAGTAAGTGCTCTAGATATGTACTGTTGTCTTTAAAACTTTTTTTCATTTATTTTATGTGTATGAGTGTTTTGCCTACATGTATGTAAGTGTACCTATGTGTGCAGTGCTTATAGAGGCTAGAAGAGGGTATTGGATCCCTGGAACTGGAGTTACAGATGGTTGTTAGCTGCCATAACCAAACCCAGGTCCTCTGCAAAAGCAGCCAGTGCTCTTAACCACTGAGCCATCTCTCCAGTCCCCTTAAGATTATTTTTATTTTATATGTAAGTGTACCATGTGCATGTCTAGTACCTGTAGAGGCCAGAAGAGGGTGTTGGATCCCCCGAACCTGGAGTTACAGGCAGTTGTTAGCCACTGTGCGGGTGTTGGGAACTGAACCCAGGTCCTCTGCAAGAGTAGCCAATGCTTTTAACCACTGAACCATCTATCTCCCAGCCCCTGAGGTTTGTTTTTGATTTGGAATTTCCTTGAGGTTTGTGTGCAGTCATTTCCTGAGGTTTGTGGTTCTGTGACTGTAGTGACATCTGGGAATTGTCCTTGCAAAAATTCATTAAGAAACAGAGTTTTGGAAGTTTGAGGTTTTTTTTTATTCTATTTTGTTTTGTTTCTGTTTTTCTTTTTGTAGTGTGTAAGTTGAACTCAAGGCCTTGTGTATCAAGTTTTCCACCAATGAAGTATAGCCCGTTACTATTTTAAAAATCTTTTATCTGTATGTGTATTGCCTGTATGTACGTAAGGGTACTCATGTAGTGCAATACCCACAGAGGTCAGAAGATGGTGTCAGATCCCTTGGAACTGGAGTTAAGGATAGTTGTTAGCCACCATGTGGGTGCTGGGAACCAAACCCAGTTCCTCTGCAAGAGCAGCCAGTGCTCTTACCCGCTGAGCCATCTTTCCAGCCCCACAATCATACTATTTTAATTATGTACCTGGTATGTCGGCCTAGACTGAATCCCTTGGGGCCAGAGCTGTCTAATTACCTTAAATGCTTATTGCCCAACATGGAATCTTGCAGATAGACAGTACTTTGTAAATCTTTGCTTAATGGAATCCAGCAGATAGAGATAATGAAGTGCAGAACTAAGTGGCCAAAGATCAGCCCGTGTTGTGATTAAATGTCACCAGTAGCAGAGTTTCTCATGTTGTTTATCCCCCTATTTAATTTTGTGTTTTGTTTCTGTGAACAAGGTTGGTACTGATAAAATGAGCTTTGATTAGGCATAGTGGTATAAGCGTTTCATCCTTGCAGAAACAAGCAGGCCAGCCTTGTATAACTCTCTATGATCTACATAGAGAGTTCCAGGCTAGCCAGGACCAAAACCAAACCAAACCAAAACAATCCCCCCTCAAAAAAACAAAACAAAACAAACCTGAGCCTTTCACCTGTCAGGCCTTGGGCAGGCCACTTCGTCTTCCTGCCTTGGGTTCCTCATCTAATAGCTAACAGTTGCTCAGCAGTAATAAATAAGGTAAGCGTGGTGATGGGTTTAGAACATGGCCTCGCAGTCAGCAGTAATTGTGGTCAGAATTGTTGGTAGCAGCTGTGCTAGGTCATACTGCATCTTATCCAGGAAGGGTATGAGGTCTGGATATCATCAGTGCAAGCCGCTCGGCTTCTCTTTCAGGCAAGCTGACTGACAGGACGGCAAGCGTTTTCCAAGGCCAGGAGATGAACCTGAAGATGATCAGTATCCAGAGAGCCGAGATCTCGGCAGCTGCCTTCATGAAAGCTTTCTGCCATCACAAGCTCCTTGAAGTGGACGCCACCGCAGTGCATTCTGGACTTCCAGCCCCTGACATCGTGCATGCCCTCTGCAGCAGTACTTGGATCCAGCACAACCTTCGGTGTCTCCTGCTAGACTCAACGACTGTCCCTCAGGATTGTAGACTGCTGGCCCCTGGTCAGCTCATTGGCCTTCGCGCTTTAAGTGTTTTCAACGTTTCCTTTTTCACTGAAGACCTGGTCATTGTTTCTCAGTTACCAAACCTGGACAGCTTGGATATCTCCAATACTCTGGTCACAGACATCTCTGCACTCTTTGCCTGTAAGGAACGACTTAGATTTCTCGCAATGCACCATCTGAAGTGCCTGACCATGACCAACATGCAAGTTCTCAGTGTCATTAGAGAACTGAAGTATCTGTGTTACCTGGATATTTCTGATCACAGACAGCTCAGATCAGACCTGGCTTTTCATTTGCTCCAGGAGAAGGAGATCCTGCCTAATGTTGTGTCCCTGGATGTTTCTGGAGGCAATTGTATCACTGATGCAGTTGTGGAAGCATTCATACAACAGCGGCCCAAGATGCAGTTCGTGGGACTCCTGGCTACAGATGCTGGTTACTCTGATTTCTTTACAGCAAAGCAAGGCTTGAGGGTTTGTTCTAAAATAAGTTTCATTTCATTTTTTGAGAACATTACATGTTCATTGACAGAATCTATTTTAGGTGTGGGTTACATAGATAAAATTCTGAGGATGTGATAGTTTATAACTACTGGAATTAGTCTGAGACAGGTTAAGATTCAGCCAGGTGTGGTAGTACATGCCTTTAATCCCAGCACTCAGGAGGCAGAGGCAGGCATATCTCTATGAATTTAAGGCTAGCCTGGTCTACATAGTGAGTTCCAGGCCAGGCCAGCCGGGGCTACATGGAGACCTTGTCTCAAGAAGACCAAAAAAAGATACAAATCCTGGGGACTGAGAAGATGGTTCACTGGGTAAAGTTGTTGGTGCTTAAGTATGAGGACATGAGTTCAGATTCCCCAGGACACATTTTTATTTTTATTTTATTTTAATTAATTAATTTATTTATTTTGGTGTTTTTGAGACAGGGTCTCCCTGTAGTCCCAGCTGGCCTGGAACTTGCTATATAGATCAGGCTGGCCTTGAACTCACAGAGATCCGCCTGCCTCTGCCTCCCAAGTGCTAGGGTCAAAGACATACACCACCATGCCTGGCTAAGGACACATTTTTTAAAAAGCCTCCTTGAAGAAGGCTTTCTTTTTTGTTTTTGTTTTTGAGACAGGGTCTCATTCTATAGCCCTGCCTGGCCTGGAATTGGTTCTGTAGACTAAGCTAGGGGTGTGTATGTCTCTCTGTCTCTCTGTCTGTCTCTGTCTCTCTCTGTCTCTCTCTCTCTCTCTCTCTCTCTGCTTGCTTGCTTGCTTGCTTGCTTGCTTGCTTGCTTGCTTGCGGGTATATATATGTGAATGTAGGTGCTTATGGAGACCAGAAGTGTTGAATCCCCCTGGAGCTGGAGGAGGTTCTGTTTGTGTATAGTAATGATTTATAACATGAACAGAATCCCAACAAAGAACTTCTTTTTTTTTTTTGTCTTTTTGAGATAGGGTCTCCCTGTAGCCCCATCTGGCCTTGAACCCACAGAGATCCACCTGTCTCTGCCTCCTGAGCACTAGGATTAAAGGCATGTTTGGATTGGTTTGAACCTTCATTTCTTGGCAGTTAGTTGATAGGGATCCTTTTTCAAAAGTACTTTTCTAATTGGGCATATTGACATACCCCTGTGATTCCAGCTCTTGGGAGACTGAGGTGGGTAGATTTTGAGTTTGGGACCAGTTTGAGGTATAGGTTAAGACCCTGTTGCAGCAAAACAAAAGCACTTTCCTATCAGTTTAGTCAGTGATGTATGATGCTGTTGGTGCTGGAACCAAAGTGATACTGTGAGTGAGTGCTGGAGGCAGGATGATGGCTGAGTGAGTGATAGAGGGAGGAGGATGCTGTGGGTGAGTGCTGGAGGCAGGATGATGCTATGAATGTGGATTTGATTTTCTTTTCATTTTGCAGAATCTTTATTCTTTCCCATATTTCTTTCTTATTCTTCATTACTCAGAGTGTTGAAAACTTAACATGTCTAGTTTGTTTAAATTCCTTGATGATTTTATGGTTGGAAGAGATACAGGAGAGAGTGTTGTAGAGTAAGGAGGTGTGATCCAGAATCAGGAGACTTCCATTACCTTCCAGACCCGACCTCTGTGGGCTGTTTGAAATGTGTTAATTAGTGATAGCAAGGAAGACTTTCTGTATAAGAAGCATAGGGTTAGTACTGAAGAAAAGCAGATGCCTTCCTGTGGCTTTCCCATCTTACTGTCTTACCCTGTCTGAGTACTTAGTACCCTGATAGGCATCAGTCATGATCAGCTGCTGGAACATGACATGTTCTTGTACATTCAGCTGAGTGGTTGTGCTTGTGCTGAGCTTGACACCCTGGGCTTCACACTTGGTCAGGCAGGTGCCTTACCACTGAGGGAGATCTCCAAACCGGTCAGTTGAGGTTCTGTTTGCTTGTTTATTTTGTTTTGATTTTCCCCACTTCTTGATTCAGATAGGGTCTCACTATGTAGACCTGGCTAGCCTCAAATTTGAGGCCATCCTTCTGCTTCTGCCTCCCAAGTTACAGGCATGTACCACCTAGTTGAGGTCTTAACTGGAATCTAGGTGCAGGGAGATGTATTTGATTCTGACAGTACCACTTGCTTTGTTATGTTACCAAACATCACATTATTGCACTTGTCTGAACCCCTATGTAAAACTGAGGTTGAGGAATGCTTGAATCTACTGGAATAGGACTAGACGGGAGCAGCTTTGTAGATCACCTAGAATATTTAATCCAGCACCTATTGTTATTGTTTCAACACTAGGTCCTCAAATGCTTGTGCTGGGAGGTAATGGGTAAAACCTACTGTAATGCCATGTTTTTCAGGTTGCTGGAGGCGCCAACATGAGTCAGATTTCCGAAGCACTGAACCGGTACAGGAACAGGTCATGTTTTGTGAAGGAAGCTCTCTACAGGCTCTTCAAAGGGACATTTTCACTACAGGTCACCCTGCCTGCCATTTTAAAGGTAACTGGTCATTTAAAAGTTGTTTACCACACACAGTACAGTAAAGCATGTGCTGTCTTCAGTGAGTCAAGTGTGCCCATTAAAAAGGGAGAATGCCAGTTTTCCCTTTGCGCTGTGTTAGAGTTACCCGACAGCAGGGATCTCATTAATGAGAAAAATGAAGTCCAACCTTTCTCTTCATTGCCTTGGATAAGCCCTGGCATTTCGCCTCCTCATCAAAAGTAGCAGGGAGGAGCAGAGCCAGCTATGTTTGTTGCAAGGCCTGATACAAAGTGAAAATGTAAGGCCCCTAGTTCAGAAAGCATGAAGAAAATGAAGTTACTGGTTTGTTTTTGTTTTGTTGTGTTGTGTTGGTCTTTTTGAGACAGGGTTTCCCTGTAGCCCCAGCTGGCCTGGAACTCAACTATGTAGACCAGGCTGGCCTTGAACTCACAGAGATCCACCT